AATCCATAAATAACTAGAAAAAAAAGAGTGAGAAACAATATATGTATGTTGTGTGGTCAATAGTAAGAGAAACAATTGAGACCCTGCAATTGTGTGTAAATGAGGCAAAAAGTCAGATCAGCAACCTGGGACTTGGTCACAATTTTCGTGATGCCATATGGCAGCAGGTCTACCATTAGGCAATACATTATGCTTCCAATATCTTCCCAGGCGGTGGTACCTCCCTGTTTGGTAGCTGCCTACTACCTACTACCTAAATGAATTTGTAAGGAGCGTTTTTTTTTTTTTAGTAAACATTCTGTTCAAAATAGAAATGAAAACTAAGTATATCTTAAAGTTTGGCGATAATTTAATAAAAGTAATACGATCTGTCAGTCATTTTAGTGTAAAATATCAGTACTGTAGTGTATAACTACCGAGACCTCTAAATTGCTGGTAAAAGAAAATTTAAAATATAGTGATTAATATTAATAATACAACAGTACACATAACTAACTCAAGTTGCACTATTACTTATTATGTTCAACCATTATATTACTAACAATAAGAAAACTAAATACATTCCTACACTTGGAGCTCCAATGATGCATGACTCATGTAAAATTTTTATCTCCCGAAGAAATGAACGAAGATCAGAAGAAAAAAAATTCAGAGTTATTTTATACTGAAGTCCTCTTTTTTAATATTATAGTTTTAAAGGAGAATATAAGAGTCATGAAGGAGATATATTAGAGTTATGAAGGAGAATATTAGAGTTATGAGGAAGAATATTAGAGTTATGAGGAAGAATATTAGAGTTATAAAGGAAAATATTAGAAATATGAAGGCGAATATTATAGTCATAAAGGCGAATATAAGAGTTATCTTGAAAAATATTAGGGATACGAAGAAGAATATTAGAGTTATGAAGAAATTATTGGAGTTATGAAGAAGAATATTAGAGTTATGAAGGAGAATATAAGAGTCATGAAGGTGAATATTAAAGTTATTAAGAACAATATTAGATGTAAAGGAGAATATTAGAGTTATAAAGGAGAATATTAGAGTTATGAAGAAGAATATTAGGGTCGTGAAGGAAAATATTAGAGTTATGAAGAAGAATAATAGAGTTATAAAGATGAATATCAGAGTAATGAACGAGAATATTAGTCATGGAATAAAATATCAGAATTATGAAGAAGAATTTTAGAGTTATAAAGAAGAATATTAGGGTTTTGAAGACGAATATTAGAGTCATGAAGAAAAATAATAGAGTTATGAAGGATATTATTAGTGTTACGAAGGAGAATATCAATGTTAGTGAGAAGATTATTAGAGTTGTGGAGAAGACTATTAGAATCAAGTAGGAGAATATTGGAGTCATGTAGGAGAATATTAGAGTTAAAAATGCTTTGAAAACCTTTGATCTAGATGTATGATAGTAATTTAGTGGGTCCCTTATTTTTGACCTGACCTGACTAGTCACGTCACCCCCCTTCTCTTAAGCTCCTCTACGTGTGTGTTGGTGTGGGGATTAGTGGATGACATCATTATGACCTATGTTACGAGTTGGGGATTTAGAATATAGTTAAAAGTCTACCCAGATCCCAACAGGCAACAACAATAAAAAAACTTAAACAAATAAAGACAATCGGACTATAAAAGGGTAGACAAAGGATGCGAGTTTTTGTTGTGTATAATAAAGTACCATAAATTCCTTAACAAAATATTCAGCTTTCTATAATTTACCCTTAACCATACTTAACCTAAACATACGCAACATTGGCTTAACAGTATATACATATTTATACGACATACAACAATTTGAAGCAAGTGGAGGTGGGGAGGCAATATAGGATAACAAATACTTAAGTGCGGAGCTGAGATGTCTAACGAGTAAGGCTGAGTATTGAAGAAGATGGTAGGTAGTCACTGTGCCGTAGATTTCCAGGATAGGTGATCCTAGTGTGGTCACTTCCCAGAGTGAACTGAACTCTAATCGATCTGGAGCTGATGAGGAAGACTTGGAGGAGGTGACGCAACAACCAGGATATGGAGAAGGGAAACCCCGGAGTGGTGACTAAGACTAGTCATACTCGGGTTTCGTCCCAGATGGCGTTGCTGGGTAGGTAGATCATGACAATAGATGGCGTGGTTCGTAACACCTACCTCATGTTTTTAAGGTCACCCTGTATATTTAAGCCACTCTCTGTCCATGTAATCGAGTTGCCTCTGAAGATGTCTTGAATAAAGACGAAAGCTAAGGTGCTCCGTTGTTTCCCTTTTCCCCTGTGATTTTATCAAGATATATATATATATATATATATATATATATATATATATATATATATATATATATATATATATATATATATATATATATATATATATATATATATATATATATATATATATATATAATTGAAAGCTTGCTTCTTCAGGGTGAGTACTAGTCTGTACTCACCCCTGAAGATGTGAATTACACGAAAGCGCTTGGGAACTTCGTGTATTCTTCTTTCCTTGTGGTTATCAGCATATACCTAGATCACACGCACCTACAGTGATTTACTTGCATATATATATATATATATATATACTTTCCCTCACCCTAGCAAACTGGTTAGCATAGCATAACCAAACAGCCTCGCAAGGACCAATAGGTCTGTCTATAATATGTGTGCACGTTCTAAAATGACCTAGTATATTTTACTAATGTTTCATTGTCTATGGGTTTTCTTACAGTGTGGCTGTGAGTTTTCTATTTTGTCTACCTGCCAGTTCAACAGGACTGTTAACCATCCTCCCAGCAACTCATATGCCATCCCAGACCCAAAGCCTATATGTATGGTGCAAGACGGCAGTCCAATACATACAAGTCAGGCAGTCAAGCGTTGGTTTGAGGCACACCCGCAGATTATTCTATTGGACTGGCCCCCTAAAGGAGCCGATTGTAATCCAATAGAAAATCTATGGGCGCATATGGTTGTTGAATGGTATTTTGAGGAGAAAACGAGTGAGGCAGTGAGGAGACACGCACATAATGTATGGGAGGGAATAAGGAGGAGGCCGAACATCTGCAGCAATCTGGTAGATTCCATGCCCACCAGATTGCATGAAGTTATAGCAGCAGATGGAGTTGGACACGGTATTAAACTGTGGTCAAGAATTAAATCTCAGCCCACGACGGTGCCTTGTAGTGGATGGTGGGGGAGTTAGCTCTCTGGTATAACCTCGTTGGGGCCACATAGACTTCGTCTCCTAACTCTCGGGAATTTGTCCAGGTATTTTGCTATGTGGTTTTACGTCACTTCGCATAAATATGCTTACAAAATCTATGCATTAATATGCATAACTCTTAGGAATCTGTCTAGACATTAAATTTATGTTATATACTACAATAATCACATAGATATATTTACAATGTTTATGCATAATAAATGTGAAAAATATTTTTGGGGTTTCAATTAACCAATAGTCATGCCTACAATACAATCTTGATGCTCTAAGTGCATGTATGTGTTAAATAACGAGTAACTGATCCACATTATTTTGGTAAATAAAGAAATGAAAAGCAAGCACTTAGGCATATGGATATAGTTACACGGAAGAAGGGAAATTAGGATGAACCATGGTATTGATGGAAACAATGTGCTCTGGGACGATTCTCACAATGACGAATGGGAGAAACCTCTTTATGAAACATCTTACCTACTAAGGATGAAGCTTAACGTTACAGAACACACACACACACACACACACACACACACACACATACACACACACACACACACACACACAAATACACACACACACACACACACACACACAGTGTAACTTTGTGTGACGCGTTGTCTGACTTAGGGTGGCTTTGAGCGAACCATACACTTGATATTACAATTTATGTATCCTTCCTGTCCATGATTTTCAACAATAACTGTAGGGTAAAAGTTACAATATTAGACTAATAGCACTGTCAGGTATTGATACTATGACTAGTTACCAAGATACAGAGCACGATGAACATAACATGATAATGACAGTGAAGCCTGGAAGGGTTCTGATCATAAGTTGTGTGTTGCTGCGTATGTTGCCCGGTGAAAGTTACCGTGGGCCTCCATGTGCCCAGGTGAGATGGTCAAAGTATTATACTATAAGTGTGTCAAATGAGGAGTGACTGATCCACATATAATTTAAGGTTTTTGAAATATGTAGTTAAATTAAACACGATTTTCGTATAGTTATGCGAATGATGGGAAGCATCATGGTCTGGCACACACACACACACACACACACTCACAAGCGCTGTAAACGTTGTGTGGAGTCACTGAGTGGTTTGGAAGTGTTTATTTCCATTCATACTTTCGTAACTACAACCTATGGTATTTTTTCTTCGTGTTCATATATAATGAAGATAATGCAGAGTATAAAATGCCATATACAATATTTATACATAATATCATCTATACAGCCGTACTATGACTGTGTGTGTTCGTGCGTGTGTTGCCTCGTGATAGTTAGAGTGGGCCCCCGTCCAGAAAGGGCACTGTACTAACCTCCAGCACCGACCCAGGTGGGCTAGAGAATATGGTTTCCTAGTGTACATTA